ATGAGCATGTGTGATTTTATTGATTAAGCAAGTTGGCATTAGAAGAAAGTGACGAGGTTAGCAAGAGTTTGGTGGGCAGAAATGGGTGAAGGTGGTTGGCCACGCCCGAGTGAGTGAGTATATGGACAAACTATATATATTCATCCCTCTACTATTCCTACTGATTTAATTATTTCCCACTACTTCCCGACGAGTATTTTGTTCCTTGTCACCATTGCCATTTTCTTTACTTTAATTTGTTACTTGCCTCTTTGGTATACATGTGTAGTTATAGTAGTCATTCTTGTCAAGGTATTGCACTTCAATTTAGACATTTCTATTTTATTCACATGATTTAAAAATATTTTTTGCATCATTATTTAAAATTAGAAATATTGTACTTGTTTTTTTTGCTATATAAAGATTTAGGCCCCGTTTAGTTGGCAAAATAAGATTAAATAATTTAATAAGACCCAATTATTTTATTGAAGCTTGAAACGTCCAACAAAAAAAACGCATTAGAAGGCAAGATAAGTCAAGATAAGGCAAGATAAGCTATAAATATTTAATTTTTGCGGGTCGACCCGGCGATTTATTGAGGATACCAAACATCAAATTAAGTCCAACTATTTAGTTAATCATGGCTTATCTTGACAACCAAACGGGATATATTGGGCAAAATGAGTTTTTTAGTCATATAAGTTTACTAGTTGAGAGTTTTAATCCACCATATTTCGAAACCAGAATTTTAGTCCTTTAAGTTACAAAAATTGGGAATTTTGGTCATATGACCTGCTATAACAGGTAATGTGATGGTTGGTTGAATGAGTTGGCATTTAAAGCATAAAAATAAGGGCAAATGGCAAAAAAGGACATGACAAGGGACTTAAATGCGCATTGGTAAAAAAAAAAAAACAGTCTTTCAAATAAACTCATTCTCATATATGTAGTCTAAAATACCCTACATAATATAATTCTTATCAATTCCATCCATTATGCTCTAACTTCCTTAATATTACACATTGAACCCGGATTTAAACAAATATATCACATTAACCCCCATTTTAATAATTTTTTGAAATTTTTTTTTAGAAAATATTTTTTTTCTGAATTTTTTTTTCCGACGTTGATTTTTTTTTGCAAACTTTTTTTTTTCTGAAATTTTTTTTCCGGCCGGTCTCTGGCGTTGACTTTCTGTTTTTTTTTTTTTTTTTTTTTTTTTGAAATTTTGTTTTTTCTTAAAAAAATTATTTTAATTAATATTACTGTCGTGGCTGCTAAATTACTGTCTCATGCAGTAATATTACTGTTTGGGACAGTAATATTATGAATGTTATTTTCCCGAACAGTAATATTATTACTATTACTATCCCAAACAGTAATATTATTGCATGAGACAATAATATTACGGTCGGAGACAGTAATATTACAGTGGAAGAAAGCAAAAATGCAGGTCAGGATGATAAAATTAATTAATACAGTAATAGCAGCCAAGACAGTAATATTAATTAAAATAATATTTTTTAAGAAAAAAAAAATTCAAAAAAAAAAAAAAAAGTCAATTGACAGTTAAATTACTGTCTCCGACAGTTAAATAGCTGTTGGGGACTGTAATTTAGCAACGAAGACAATAATATTAATTAAAATATATTTTGTAAAAAAAAAGTCAATTAACAGTTAAGTTACTGTCTCCGGCAGTTAAATAACTGTCGGAGACAGTAATTTAGCAGCCAAGACAGTAATATTAATTAAAATATTTATTTAAGAAAAAAAAGTTCAATTAACAGTTAAATAACTGTCTCCGACAGTTAAATAACTGTTATTAATTAAAATATTTTTATAAGAAAACATAAAATTTCAAAAAAAAAGGTCATAGTCGGAGACCCGGCGGTCAACGGCGGTTGACCTGCCGGAAAAAAAAATTCAAAAAAAAAAGTCGGAGACCGGCGGTCAACGGCGGCTGACGAGCCGTCTCCGATGGTGACGGGTCAAAATTGGGGTCAAAATTGGTTAATTGGTGAAATTGGACTAAATTGGGGTGTAAATCGTGAAATTAGAGTTGAATTGGGTTTCAATGAATTGGTGGTAATTTTGGTATATATATAAAAGGGTTTTCCTTATTTGCAAATAAGTTTGAATGAGCTGAAAATATTTGAAAGACAAAAAAGTTGGATGTCAATTTTTGAATTAAGTGCCCTTATCATGGGCCTATTTGCCATTTGCCCTAAAAATAAACAAATTAAAATTAAATTTAGGTAACGTGGCTTATGAGTTGGATGCTTTTTGAGAGAAATAAAATATACCATCAAATTAATTTTTTATTTAATTTGATGAATTAAATAACCATTATTGTAGTAACTATTTTGTAATTAATATTTTATAGTTTTCAATTGATAAAAATAATAATTAACTATATTTAATTACTCGTTTATGAATATTTGTTACTCTTGGATTGATAACGTATTTTATATTTGGAGGCTCTAGAATATTTTTTTGGTACATTAATTTAAGGGTAAATTACAACTGCTCCTGAGGTATGGTCAAATTACGAAAAACCCCCTCTTGTTTGGGTAATTACAACTACCCATCAATAAAATTTATTACACGTCCACCCTTGCGGTTTCAAATTTAGTGGAATATTCGAGATTATATCGAATATTATCACTTTTTTACCCGTTTTATCCCATTCGAACTCCAGATTTTGAAGCAAGATGATCTTAATATATGTTTTGGCTTGTATGTATCAGATTGTGGTGCATCGGAAACTGTATTTTTACACAAAACGAGTACAAACTAGAGCACATTCCACGAAATCTAGATGATTATGTTGAATTAGACACCATAAGGGTGGAGGTGTAAGAAAAAATCATAGTTGATGGGGATAGATGTAATTATCCAAACAAGTGGGGTTTTTCCATAAATTGACCATACCTCAGGGGATGGTTGTAATTTACCATTAATTTAATGGAGTTTTGGTGTATTTTATTATTTTTTTGGTTAATTCGTAAATGTCTATTTGGTTTTGTATACTAATTATGATTATGCGTGTTATTTAACCCTACAACAAGTTTTAATAAAAGTTGTTTTTCGTATTTTTGCTGAATTTGATTGTTGGTTCAATTTCCTTGTAATCACTGAGTATAGATTTCTAAAGCAATGAAATATTTATATAAATATGAATTTAATTACTATTTTTATCAAATAAAAACTAAGAATTAAATATTAATTAAACATTAGTTATTATTATTTCCTTCATAAAAATATAATGGTAGATTTTATTGAATGGTACAATGAGGGTCTTTATTGAAAAAATATAACAGAAAAATAAATATATAAATTATATGTTAAATTTTTTCTCATTATTTTAGTGAATTTGACAATGAAGATTAAATTTCTCTCCAAAATCATCCAACTCATTAGCCACATCACCTAATTTTTTTATATTTTAAATGTCAACTCATTCTACCAACCATCACATTACCTGTTATAGGAGGTCATAGGACAAAAAATCTCAACTTTTATAATTTACAGGACTAAAATTCTAATTTTGAAACATGATGGACTAAAACTCTCAACTAGTAAACTTAGAGGACTAAAAAACTCATTTTGCCTAATATATTGTTACATTAGAGACAATATAAACATTCAATTTGCACTTATATTTATTGATCAATGAATAAAGATAATTGTTTACATGATACAAGAAATGATTTTCATTAAAATGTGACATTGTTTGATCTGCTTAGAAAGAAAAAAAAAAAGCAAATGAATTAATGAGTATAAATGTAAATAAATATATCGGAAAATTAGCTAGAAGTCCCTTAAAAATATTCTTTATAGCTATAAGGATAGTCGGATTTTGCCATTTTGCTAAAAGTTCTTGTGCGCTAGATCTGACGCTAGATTTGGATTTTCTTTAATGGAACTGTTTAGAAAAACTAACAGTAACGGACACGTTAATTTGCACAACTTAGTTATATTAATAAGCAACAACATAGTTAAATGAATAAGTAACAACTTAGTTAAAATAAACTTAACAACAAATTAAAACAAGAATGAATACATCTCACAATGTATACACAACTTACACATACAACTTATAAAACTTATTTACAAAATTTTGTTACATTAATGAGCAAAAATTTAGAAAAGAACACGTATTTCATATAATTTCACTATGAAGTTAGACAAATTAGAAAACTTATTTGCACAACTTAGTTACATAGCTTAGTTAAAATAAACTGAAGGAAAAAAACTTAAATCTCTGTGCGTACATCACCACCATCATTACCATCTGTCATCACCAAACAATTTTTCATATTTTTTCCTTTTGGTTTCTATAATTATTAGGTAACAACGAAGGGGAATTAAGGGGAGTAACCAAAATCGTATGTGTGTTCGTGTGTATGGTTGCGTATGTGTGTATATAGGTGTGTGATTATGTGTATGTGCATTTGTGTAGAGCTTCGACGATGGCAGCAGCGGAGAGAGGGATGGAGTGAAGCGGTGTTAAATGGAATTGGCGGGATGAAGGCGAGATGAAAAATAATATGGACTTTTATCAAATTGCCAAAATCAATCTGCCCTGATTTAAAAGATAATTAATGTCGAGGGGTGTTTAACAAATCGCCCCTAAATATAAATGGAAAAAAGGAGAAAGGATGTGTAAAAAAATAAACCAAAGGTGCACAAAGTCAATATTATGTGATAATATTAGGTGATGACTAAAACATAGTCAGTCCTAATAATATTCAAAACCGTACGTACATCCACTCAATATAATCACTCACTATCTTTGTCAAAGTGTTAGCTGTAATTATGAGAATAAACAAAGACTAATTACAGAGTAGCTGCTAGCTAATAGTGAAAGGCTATTGCCCTGGCAGCTTCTTCTTGAAGAGATCCATGATCATCATCAATATATTGAAACCAAACAATTATTAATGGATCACTCCCCATTATTAATACCTCCCATTTATCCCGAGATCTTACACTGCGTACCGTACGTTTCCTTATACTTAATTGTTTCGTTTTTTGCACACAGAAAATCGACAAATGGAGGATAATATTCTTCCTCCTGGATTTAGATTCCATCCCACAGATGAAGAATTAATCACTTATTATCTTACTAACAAAGTTTCAGACTTCGAATTCACCACTAAAGCTGTTGCTGATGTTGATCTTAACAAGTGTGAACCATGGGATCTCCCAGGTATTTTATTTTACCTTTTTTTTTTTTATTACACATATATTAATTCTATTTAAAAATATATATATTTGCCTTGTTTGATTAAATGAACTGTTTCAAATATCATTACAATGAGATTTTATTAGGATTTTATTTTTATTTTTATATTTTTGTCTATTTGCCACCCCTAAAAAAAAAATACTCACATATAATACATAATTTCTAAATTTAAAGAGTTTCAATAACAATATATAATACACATTTATTGTTGGTTTTTACAATAATCCCTAAAAATAAATCGCGAGTGCTGCCCCTAAACCCCCATCCTCCAGAGAAAAACCTCCTGGATCCGCCCCAGCTAGCAAGTCAGTAGGACTGGAAGAAGCAGATTCCATAACACAAATTGAAACATCATACGTTATACATATATAATATATTAATAATAATACATGACAATACTTATTACAGGCAAAGCCTCGTTGGGGGAAAAGGAATGGTATTTTTTCAGCCAAAGAGACCGAAAGTACCCAACGGGACTGAGGACGAATCGCGCAACGGAAGCGGGTTACTGGAAAACGACAGGGAAAGACAAGGAGATTTTCCGGGGAAGCGTATCATTGGTTGGCATGAAGAAAACATTGGTGTTCTATAGAGGCAGAGCTCCCAAGGGTGAAAAGACCAACTGGGTTATGCATGAATATCGCCTTCATAACAACAACCTTGCTAATTTCAACAACCCCACAAAGGTATATAAATATATACATGCATAATGCATACGCATACCACTATATAGTACTTATGTGGTGTTTGCAAATGATTATTTACAAGTAGAAGTTAGTGATTGTGAGTTAAGTTAATTTTAAGAGTTTATTTCTAAAAGTTGGGGTGTTTGCAAATATTCCAGAACATGAACTTCAATAGAAAAAACAGGGTTAGGGGTGCTTTTAAAAAAATAGCTTAAAGCAGATTATTTTAAGAGAAACAAAAGCAACAGTTGATTTTGCAAACACCTAAAAACAAATTATGAGCAAAAAAAAGCTCATAATCACTTTCAAAAAGCTTTTGCAAACACCACCTTAATCTTTTAAAGTAATTTAAACACTTTTTAAGAGATTGTAAGCTCTTACAAAAAATTATAAGTTGTTTGCAAATATTTCTAAGTTTCTACAAACAACTTATGATGAACTAGTATTTTATTGTTGTTTTTAAATAGATTTATTACCTAAAAATCAACTTATAACCTTTATCATTGTGTATATTTATTGAAAAGATTTTTTGTCTTTGTTTTACAAAAACCACCTTCTTTAGTAAAACTGAAAGAGATATAGTCGTCCATGCGATATTTGTAAACGTTCAAATTTAACTGCGTTATTCTACAAATAAGTCAAATTTCCGGAGTAGTTTTTACAGTTTATGACGACCTTGTATACAATTTAAAAAAATGCGAATTTTCATATAAGTAAACCTACTCTTACATTAATTCAATATTTTGTTTAATTTCTAGGAGGAATGGGTCGTTTGTAGGGTGTTCCAGAAGAGTTCGACAGTAAGGAAGGCGCAACAGACACCTTCGTCGCCACCATCGCAAGACTCCCCATGCGATACAAACAACGTTTACGCAACGGTAAACGAGATCGACGACATACAAAACTTCATCAACAACAACATGATGTCAATTAATAATTCTTCATCAACTAGTAATAATTTTATGATGAACTACATGAACACTAGTAGTGATTCTAACCCAATGACGAACTGGAGTGGAACAGCATCAACTAATAACTCTCTACCATCATTAATTAATTGGCCGCCATTGTTAAGCACCAATAATCTTTCCATGAATGCTTTGCTTCTGACAGCATTGCAGCTTAGATCAGGCCATCATCAGCCAAGAGGAAGTGATCACAATTACTCTTTCATGGCTCCACAGGCAATTAATATATCTCAGCATGGAAATCATGATTTCACCTCCATGAATATCGACATGGCTTCGACGTCTAACGAACTAGATCCAGTATCTCAGCCACCAAGCTTATCGGAACAACCCTATAATGTGGACTCCAATATTTGGTGAAACAATATTGTTCAAAATGTATCCTATACGAAATAAGTTTTATATTATATGCTACTTTGTTAGTAGGAGTAATTGTGAAGAAAAATAATATTTAAGGTACGTCGTATATATTTCTGGTCATAATATACATTCTTTTTAATGTAAGTGTTAAGATAATCACGCACACATAATTAATATATGATGAAGAACCCTAGAACAAACCCTAATCTATGAATGCAAGAAAACAAACACAGATTTATAGTGGTTCGATCGAAGAAATGATCTACATACCATTGGTTATTATTATAATGATCAAGGTGGTATTAAAAAAAAGGTTGGGGTCTTAAGATATAGGTCCCTCGTGACAAAACTAATTAGAATTAAATGAAAAGCCAAACTAAACTTTTGTTTCACATCCTTTATTAAATTCATTACAAAAATGCCCCTCCACTTACTAATTCAAAATTTAAAATTCAAACTGCATTTATAATTTTTTATTATGCATTTAATCTATTTGCTTTGTCATCTAACATATTTTATTTTATTTTTACAGACTTTGTTATTTTATTTTTTCGTTTTTCACTCTAGCATTTTTTACATTATTATAAACAACTTAATGTTTTTCCTTATTTTTAACATTTTATTGAAAATTAAGAAAAAAATATTTTTCGTTTCTGTTAAATAATACAATAGATTTTAAAGATACTATGGTGTACTGTGATATACTATAGTATACTAATATTGAAAATTATGAATGTTTTTTTTTAAAAAATCGGTCGTAGTTGTTTATAGACACCTATAGAAACCATAGTAATCACTAATCCGTAGTCACATTGTCTTAAAACCTTAGCTCGCATTTTGAACCCTAGTCGCCACCCATTCGTAGACACTCATAGTAATCCATAGACACCCGTAGTCATTCGCACTCATCCAATATGAAACCCTATGAAATGGATCTCTAAAATCTGCCCATAATCATCGGACCTTTCATCATCTTCCTCTATGTCTCACTTTCCATCATAATTAGCCTTCCTCTCCTCCAAACCCAACATCAAATTCTGACCAAAAATTATCGTCGCCATCGAATAAAATCACTACCGACACAAGCGACCAAAATCGCCGCCGCCCCCAGAGATAAAAACCACCGCCGCCCGCCGCCCCTAGAGACCAAAACTGCCGCCGCCCCCAACGACCAAAACCACTGCTGCCCGCCGCCCCCAGTGACCAAACCGCCGCCTCCCCCAACGACCAAAACCACCACTGCCCCCACACCAAGATCCAATCTAAAAAACTCCTGCTACAACTAGTACCTCCAAGTTAGCACCACTACCGAAACTGAAATGCTATTCATAGAACAACTTTTACCGGCTGGCAGTGCGACTTTATTTCATTTGTAACTTTTCTTCCAAAAATTCAACATCCTCTCAAACCCTATCCAAGGTCCTTCGAATTCCTGCGGATTAAGCGAGCAATTCAACAACGATTTAAGGTAAAATTCGAACTCGAAATCGTTAACCCAATGTTTTATAGTAGTATATTAACAAATTTCGTCGAAAATCTATACGTTTTCAGTATTTTGAAAAAATTCGAAACTTTTCGGAAAAAAATTGCGTTTCGTGTAATAACTCACGAAATTAAAGGGCTAATTTCGTGATTTTTTCCACGAAATTAGCTTAATTGTTTGTGTTTCTTACGTTTCGTGCAAAATCATATGAAACAAAAGCTTACATTTCGTGAGATTTCTCACGAAAAGTAAGCTTTTGTTTCGTATGATTTTGCACGAAACGTGTGTGTCGTTTTGGCAGTTTTACTGTTATTTCGTGGAAAACCACACGAAATTAGTGCTTGTATTTCGTGAACACAAACATGAAATGTAAGCATTAATTTCGTGTGTTTTTCCACGAAATAACTGCATTCAGTTTTTTTTTATGATTTTATTTATTTATTATTATTATTTAGACTGACGTTAATAATGTTTTATTTAACAGATGGCAGGTAAAGGAAAATCAAAGGCAATTATGCGAGCAGTTCGTGAAGAGGCTGAACATCAAGAGCAAGAGCGCATGACTATGTCTACACGACGTAGGCGAGAGGCTGAGAGAGCTGCTGAAGCCAGATCATCGGTTCCACATCCCGATGTTGGGTCTTCTCGTGCTATGGAGGAGGAGGAGGAGGATGTTGTGGATCCCGTTCACGAGACTGAGGTTGTAGCTCGTGGAGGCCGAGGACGGGGCCGTGGAGGTCGTGGTGGTCGAGCTCATACTCAAGTCAATCCGGATGTGCTAGATGGTCCATTTCCCGGTGGCCTGCGGGATCCGTCTTTGATTCCGAGTTTCAAGTCGCACGTAGCGGCATATATTTGGAGGGGGAAAGTAAGTTAATTACTTGTTTTAATTTTAATATTATAATTTTTGTATCTTATATTAAAATACTTTTATAGTTGATTAATTAATATGTTTTCTAAATAAATGATTGCAGGAACGTCCGGTTGGACGAGTGGAGTCCTGTATCAACTCCCTGAACCAATTCAACTATGAGAAGGTAGCAGCTGCCCTAGAAGACATAGATGTATCCGTAGATAAGCATTTTCTGCGGATGACCGGTTTGTATCCCTTAGCCTGATGTTATTTACCGGGCCTAGATGCTCCGCCGTTGTTTGCATTCGTGGAGCGGTGGCAGCCGGAGACGAACAACTTCTATATGCCGTGGGGAGAGATGACTATCACTCTCCACGATGTCCAGATGATTCTAGGTGCCAATGTGAAGGGACGGGTTGTCGCGCCTAGGTATGACGAGGTCATCGAGCGGATAAACTGCGTGTATTTGCTGTCCGAGGTATTAAACCTCGAGTTTGAGGAGATTGACGAGTAATGGAAGCATGGGGGCCCCACATGGAGGATGATACAGGGACAGTTGTTGATGCCCGACACGACCATGAGACGCCGAGTTCAGATATACCTGGTGTTTCTCCTCGGATCGATTTTATTCCCCGACAAGACATGTGATCGGGTGAAGCCGTGGTATATGCACGTGCTCGAGGTTTCAGTGCTTGATGAGGTCAGCACGTATTCGTGGGGTTCGGCCTGTTTGGCCAATCTATACAGGGAGTTGGGTATATGCAGCCGAGCACAGTCGAGGAGCTTGGCGGGTTGCACCACCCTTCTTCAGGTAAATTTTAATATATTTTGTACTTATTTTGTTCATTTTAATATATTTTAATAAATTTTAATATATTTTGTAAATTTTAATATATTTTAATAAATTTTAATATCTTTAAATAAAATATTGCAGTGCTGGATATACGAGTATTTCCCGAAACTCCAGCCGCCGGAGGAGAGCGAGCGCTACCGCGAGTTTCAGCCTCGATGCAAGAGGTGGAACGCGCCGCCAAAAGCGGGCACACTCGAGCATATTCGAGGTTTACTCAACAATATGACAGCGGATGATGTAAGTCTTTTATATTTATGTATTTATATTTTTTTAAATATGAATTTTTTGGTTTATGTTTGTAGTTTGTTTAAATATGAATTTTTCGGTTTATGTTTGTAGTTTGTTTAAATATGAATTTTTTGATTTATGTATTTATATTGTTTTCTGTTTAGGTCGAGTGGCTACCCTATGGTCGGTGTTGGAATTTTTAATTGAATAAAATAATTAGCGTATTTCAAATAGGTGCATGTTTGGAATGAATTGGTTTCTTTTCAAACAACACATCTATTTATGAAATAACTCTTTTCAAAACAACATATCCATTCACAAAAGGACTCTTAAATATCTATAAATAAGACAAAACCTGATCAGTTCTGCATAGGATATAATAAGACGTTTGTGAATTTCTTCCAAAAACTCTTCTGTCAAAATTTGGTTCCTACGTTTTTAGTTCGCCGTGGGCTTCGAATTTGTGCAAATATCGAAGTATCCCACTGTTGTATCTTGGGAGACTACCGGGAGTGACTGTTGCACTGTAGACAGCCCGGAAATATTGTCTTAAGGATATTGCTTTTGCAAGCCTCAATCGATTTTTCATTCTTCATATTTCCGGTTAATTTCTACTTCCAAGTAAGTGTAATTCTTATTCAACTATTCACGTAGATTGTTATACTTATACCAACAATCTTAAGACAATATTAGTTTTTTGGGTTTTAGAACTTTCTGCGTAAAATTATAATGGCTTTTTCGATAACTTTTGTTAAAAGCTCTGTTTTTCATAATCGTGATTATCAATCTGGGTTAAAAGTTTCCAAATAATTTATTGGGTTTAAATATGTCTATTCGTAGAGATGAATAATATTAGTTTCTATTTATTGGGTTTAAATGTGTCTCTGAAACATTTTTGCAAACAAAAATTATGTTTTATATTGCGATTCATATATGGGGAGATATATGTATTAATTGTTTAATACATCTAGGAGTTATAATCATTGTATTGCGTTAAGTTGCGTGTTAATATCTGCAGACAAGAAATTCCATAGTGTTATTGGCTGATTTCAAAAATCTGCATATTAATTATATGCAATTGGTTTTAAAAAAATATAATAATAACTAACTATTCATTTAAGTTAAATAATTTATTAACTCTTGTGTTAATCTGCGAAGATAATTTTTTCCAAAATAAAATAGGCGTGCATAAATCTTTTTATGTCATTTGTGTAAAAGTGTAATGTTCTGACAATAGATTACATTTTTTTTTTTGTTTTACTTGAATTTAAATATATTTGTTTAAATAGTTATATTTAAACATTTTTTATGGAGAGTCATTTCTCATTTGTGTTGATGTATGTTAAATGTATTGGGATTATGAGGAAAAGACCATGTGTTAACACTTTTCAAATATTGGAGTTTATTCTTCTAAAGGATACGTTGGTTCAAATATGTGTAAAAAGTTTGGTTTAAACTGTGAGTTTAACCATATTATTTATTTATTATACCGTGTAGTTTATCTTTCAATCTACTGTGTCAACAAAATTGGCGTGACATAATCTTCAAAAGATTTGGGAGAATTAATTATGTGAAATTAAATA